ATGGGGCCTGGAGGGTGGTCTCTCCAACACTCTGGTTCCTATTCACAATATAGCAACACAACATAGCTCGCTGATACCTAGGCCAAGTTGGCTCCTCTTACCTTAATTACTGTTGCTGGCTGGCAGTCTGTGGGCTGGCTTGCTGCGGCTGGCAGGCTGTGGGCTTGCTGGCTACTGCCGGCAGGCTGTGGAGAAGCTTACTTGACTGGCTGGCAGGCTGCTGGCTTGCTGGCTGTAAGCCTGTAACTTTGCTGTAGGCCTGTGGGCTGGCTACTGGCCTGTGGGCCTGGCTAACTGGCTGGCCAACCTGTGGGTTCAACTGGCTGGCTACTGGGGCACTTGTAGATTATTTAAAGAAATAATCCGTGCACAATAACCACTACTGCTCCAGAGTAAGTAGTCAAACCGTTTAAGAACAGTTTGACAACTTACCTGGGGTCTGCTGGGATATGAGGCTGTAGTAGGGAATAGGAGCAGTGGTGCAATGTGTGTGAAAGGTTCAGTGTGTGTGTGGGGGTGTAGTGTGTGAATGTGTGGGGTGTGTGGGCAGTGTATGTGTGTGGCAATGTTAGTATGGGGGGCTGTGTATGGGGTCTGTGTGTATATGGGTGGGCAGTGTATGTGTGTGTGTGTGTGAGGCAATGTGTGTAAATGTGTATGGTGTGTATGGGGGCAGTGTGTGAATGTGTATGGTGTGTGTGTGGGGGCAGTGTGTTTATGGGGCTGGGTTCACTCTCACCACTGCGACCACCAGGAATCCATGGGGGTTACAGTGTTGAGAGTGAACTCTAGCCCGTAGCTCCAGGGCTAGAGTTGACTCTCGCAAGAGCAGTAACGTTGCCATGGTAACCGCGGCAACGCTCTGTGCTCGCGCAAGAAGGACCCAGAGGAGCTGCAGGGTGAGCTCCCAGGTCCTCTCTTCCTTCCCTGCCCGCACGGTGCCTGCGGGCGGGGGGGGGGGGCATTCTTCCCTCTCTTTCTCCCCCCTCCCCCAACTCTCTATTCCCCCTCTTTCTCCCTGTGTCTCATTCTTCCCTCTCTGTCTCTTTCTCCCCCTCCCCATCTCTCTATTCCCCCTCTTTCTCCCTGTGTCTCATTCTTCCCTCTCTGTCTCTTTCTCCCCCTCCCCATCTCTCTATTCCCCCTCTTTCTCCCCGTGTCTCATTCTTCCCTCTCTGTCTCCCCCTGTGTCTCATTCTTCCCTCTCTCCCTTTCTCCCCCCCTCCCCATCTCTCCCCCCTCTTCTCCCCCCCCCTCCCATCTCTCTCCCCTCTTTCTCCCCTCCCATCTCTCCCCCCTCTTTCTCCCCCTCTTTCTCCCCCCTCCCCATCTCCCCCCTCTTTCTCCCCCCTCCCATCTTTCCCTCTTTCTCCCCCCCTCCCATCTCTCCCCCCCGTTTCTCCCCCCTCCCATCTCTCCCCCCTCTTTCTCCCCCTCCCATCTCTCCCCCCTCTCAATCTCTCCCCCTCCCATCTCCCCCCCCCTCTCCATCTCTCCCCCCCCTCTCCATCTCTCCCCCTCTTTCTCCCCCCCTCCCCATCTCTTACCCCCTGTTTCTCCCCCTCCCCATCTCTCCCCCCACTTACTAAACTCTGGGGGGCCGGCCGTTTGATGCTGGAGCCGCCGGACCGGGTGGCAGCCTCGCCGGTCCGGCGGCATTCCTCTCACTAACACTGGAGGAGGAGCATGTGTCTATCATGCTCCTTTGCGGTTCCCACATCCTGTGCTGGGAATTGTGGGAACCGCAGGGAGCATGACAGACACATGCTCCTCCTCCTCCTCCTCCTCCTCCTTCTTCTTCAGCGTTAGTAGGAGGAATGCCGCCGGACCGGCGAGGCTGCTACCCGGTCCAGCGGCTGCAGCATCAAACGGCCGCCCCCCCCTCACAGTGCGCCACCGGGCCGGCCACCCGGTGGCACCTGCAGTCCCCAAATGCCGCCCCCAATCCAGCCCTGCCGCCGGGCCCCCTGAAGGCGGCCCTGGCGGCGGGCCCCCCTCCCAGCCGGGCCCTCGGACCGTGTCCGAAGTGCCGACCGGTCAGTCCGCCCCTGTTATAGATTGTAGCGGGGCAGTTCGGCTTCTGGGGAGACCAACTAGCAGAGAATTACAGTAATCAATACCAGAGCATAAGCATGCTCCTTGGAAACATGATGAGTAAGAAAGGGGCGGATGCGGGCAATTTTTTAAAGGTGGAATCAACAGTTTTTAGCAACATAACTGAATATGAGGTGAAAAGGTGAGGCCAGGATCAAATATAACACCAGGACAACGGGCTTCCAAAGATGGTCTCTTTCACGTACCATTAACTTGCAGGGAAAGCAGAAGTGGAGGACCAGTATTATAAGGAGAAAAAATAAGAATCTCTTTTTTTAGCAAGATTGAGATTCAGAAAGCAGGACATTCAATCAGAGATGGAAGAAATGCAAGCAGTGACGTGTTCTAGGTGGCATTGGCGTGCAGGTGGTAGCGGAATCCAAAGGAATGATTGAGTTTGCCAAGAGAGGCAGTATAAAGAGAGAACAGAAGGGGACCAAGAACAGAGCTTTTGGGGACTCCAACCAAGAAAAAACATGAAGAGGAGATGTCATTGGAAAAGGAGACACTGAATATATGTTGGGAGGGATAAGAGGAGAACCATGAGAGGACAGTGTCTTAGAGATCAAGGGATTGAAGAGTTTGGAGAAGGAGGCCATGATCAAGAGTGTCAAAGGCAGCAGAAAGGTCAAGAAGAATTAGTATGGAGTAGTGGAGGGTGCGGAAGCCAGATTCATGAGGGTCAGGGAGAGAGCTTGAATTTAGGAAGCAAGCTAAACAGGTAAAGACAAGTCTTTCTAGAAGCTTTGAGGAAAAAGTGAGTAGGGATATGGGATGATAGTTGTAAGGAGAAGACGTGTTAAGAGATGGCTTTTTTAGGATGGGTATGACAGAAGCATGTTTAAGGAGAGCAGGGACAACAACAGAAGAAAAAGAGCAGTTGAAGATGTGTGTTAACGGAACACTTTTTCTCATAAAAGGCAGGGATTACTGCAAAAGGCCTGAGCAGAATTACTCTACTCACCAGAACAAATACAATAAGCTGTAGTTTCCTGGTGACTATAGTGTCCCTTTAAGGATAGCACAAGACAAGGGGAGAGAGATCTGATAAGATGAGAAGGGATGGGATCAAGTTGAAAAGTGGTGGGACGAGAGGAAAGGAGAAGTTCAGCTACCTCCTGTGCAGTAGCTGGGGAGAAGGCCTGAAGGGTAGGGAAGGTATGGTCCAGGTGCGGTTGAGAGAAAAGTGAAAGGGGGAGAATACTTTCCTTAACTGTTTAATTCTGTTGGTAAAATAACATGCAAAGCTATTGGCAAAGAGGTTAGTTTTGGGGGTGACTGCAGCAGAGTGAAGTGGAGAATTTAAGTTATCAAAGAGACACCTGGGATTGTGGGAGCATGAACTTATGAGAGAGGAAAAGTATGATTGTTTATCAAGGGTGAAATCTGCACTGTATGAATTCAAGATAGATTTATAATGGAGAAAATCTGACAAGGTGCAAGACTTTCTCCAGCAGAGTTCAGATGAGTGGGAGCGACCAGTTATCGGGTTGACTTGGAGGCATGTCCTTATACAGGTGCAGGAACACACCAACTCGAAAGAGCAACTTTTATCCAGAAAAATGTCCAGAACAGATAATGCAAACACTTTAGATTTTGTTCACATGCAAAGTTTGATACCAGTAATGCAGCTCACAGAAGTCCACTCACACTAACTCCTGACAATATGCCTCCCTCTGGGCACTGGAGACACTCCAATGACAATTCAGCTTTTGGTGATTATCTGGTGACCCTGGCCTCCACCCACTGTCATACAGAGCCTCTGAGAGAAAAAGCCCCAGAGCCACTCTATCTGGACACTTTCCCATATATATGCAAATATACGAACTAGTTGACCTAGTGAAATACTGTAGAAACTACTAGACTACTAAAAAAGGATGATGTGTCCAACTGTGGACTGGCCAAGTTTAGTTGGAATGTGGACAACAAGCTGAACAGGTTTGACACGGTCACAGAATGAAATAACCTGCAAATGGATGATGTGTAAAAATGAACTACTGCTTTATTGTTGGCAGTTGCTATGTGGACTATTATACCTATCTCTCTACTCCTAACATTTGGTTATAAAACTCACACATCACAGCCATTGTACAGCACCGTGGTATATGTTGGTGCTCTCCAAATAATAAAAACATACAAAACACACATTATACTACATTGCTTACATGGCATAACAGATGACTGGGCAAATCAGAGAACAATAAACGCTATACAGGGTATTTACATGGAATTCTAATGTGTATCTCCTGCAGGTTACATTGTATCCCTAGTTAAACCATTCTACACCTGCTCTGAGTGTGAACTCGCCTGTGCAGTCTGTGGCAAGCACTGAATGTCATGCTACGGGAGATGTGTCCTGTCCTTGGTTTGCTGTGTGATGGGAGCAGGTCACAGCTCTGCATGGTGAGAGTGAGGATGGGGCTGCTGGGATGAGCAACAAATAGTACACGTGACTTTCTTCTACAAGGCAGTCTTTTATTATGAACAAAAAAGTGGACTAACAGGTACTCACTGAGCTCAACCCAGTCTGAACTCCTCCTTTGATGGGCAGACCGAGAGGCAGTCACTGACGGAATCTGATTGGCTGCACTGATAATCTCTGAGAATGTATACACAAAGGTGACAAGGCTGAAATTGGCAAGTGTTCATATAGCGACATATACCGCCACTATCAAATATCAGCATTTCCTTTATAAAAGAAATTGTCACCACTGCAAGTGTGGTCCAACACACAGGAACTATGTAAACCTATACATAGAAATAAGAAAGGAAATAAAAGGATAGAACGTAAACCGGACCTTAGACTAATACGTTGGAGACAGAGAATGGTCAAAGGGAAAGCTGAGGTCAAGGAAGCCAAAAATACTCAGATACCGTTTAAACAAGCCAAGTCAGGGGAACCAGAAATCGGAATAACCAGGAATAGCCAAGATCAGAATACCAGAATAACAATATCACAAGGAAAAACGTACTCTCAGGAAACCAGGAACAGGAAACCACGACAGGGCAAGGTACTGGGGTGAATTAGGGATTTAGATATCCCTCTCTAGGTTCTGATTGGTCAGAGGGTGACCTCTGACACCAAAACGTTTGTGTGCGTTGACGTTGTGATGTCACGTGCACATTCGTATAATTTTGGGGGGTGGAGCCATGGATGGACGCAACCACATGGTCGGTGCCATCTTGGATTTCCCCGAGCGGCATGGAGGAGCGGTTCCCGGCTCGCCGCTGAACAGGTAAGCTCAGTGAGTTGGTGCGGTTGTGCCGGTCGGGCATGGACGCACATGGCGACGAGCCGGGGGCCGTGACAGAAATATAATAAACTCTACTTACCTAACACATGCATGTCTACCTACAGCTTGCCCTGGACATTGACAGAGAGGCTGACGACCACAACAAGTACCTGGATGGAATGGTGAGACTAAGCCGAGTAATACATGTCCATTCTCTCATGTATTTGGCATTATTCTAGGGATGGAATTCTATAGATTAGAAAACATACGGGTTTCTAGGTGTGTTTGATCTCTAGCTGCTCTTATCCTCTGCAAGATATAGAGCATGGCAAATGGTAGTTCTTCAGCTGTTTGTAACTACAACTCCCATGATTCTTTGTAAACCAGCTGTATTTCTATAACAAACCGGCTACAACTAATATGACCTGTGGTAATCACAATGTTTCTCTTTGTTCTGTAGGATTCTGATTTCATGAGTGTGACCGGTCTTCTTAGTGGCACTGTGAAACGTTTCACAGGGATGACTCGTTCAGGACGTGATAATCGCAAGATATTATGTTATATTTCAGTCGGACTTGTTGGATTGTTCCTTCTTTCTTTTTTTTGTTGTTGGATTCGTCTTCGTTTCTCGTGATTGTGTATTTCTGGCTTTGACTTGTTTTTCACATTTCTTGTAGTTTTTTCTATATTCCGGCCATTCTAAAGAACTGGTTTAGGGATTTTCTATTTGTCTCTGTTTCTACTGGTGGGTTTTCACACTGCAGGTGTTGGGTTAATCGTTTCAATGAGACTGTAGGATGTTTAGGATAATGGACCTTCCTTAGTTACTGGAGGGACTGACATATTAGATCACCTCCTCCAAGCGCAGCCAAGGAGAAAGCAAAACAGAGTAACTCAGGTCGATGGTGGTTCCCCCAACCAGACCCCTGCTCATTAACACTCAGAGTCACACCGCAGCAAATCACACACACACACACAGTATTATTTTACCGCATGGCACCGTGTATGACTTGGTGGGAGTTATGTGCTTATTTTATGGGACCCCCTAAGCCAACACGCTCATGACCATCTACCACAGTTCATGCTCTGTGCTTCCTGTTTGCAGGATTGCTATAATTTACACACAGTTTCCTGAGCTATTTCCTACTTCAGTCATCCCTACTTCACCACTTACAGCCACACTGCAGCTCCCCTCTGCTTATTCATGGCTGTACAGCCCCTCCAAAACACACGCATGCAGCACTGTGCAGTACCGTGTGTGGTTTGGTGGGTCAGAGGAGCAGTGGTGGAAATATTGCAGAGAGGGCCCTGGTGCAAGAATGTTTCTGGGTCCTCCCTATCGCAAGGGTGGCCAAAACGTAGATCACCATCTGTCTTAGAATTCCCACAATGCTTTGTCAGCTGGGGATCTATCATTTGCCCATCCTTGCATGGTTGTATTTAGCACTGAGCAGTGTTTGTGTGTTTGAATTTAAGCATGCTTTGTTATGGAGTATGTGTGTGTGTCTGAATGTAGGGGTGTATTTGTGTGTAGTGATGGCACTTGAATACAGTTGTGTTGTATGTACTGTTGCCATTTGAAAGCACTTTGGTTACTTGTGTGTAGTGTTTGCTTTTGAATGTAGGGGTGTGTTTGTATCTAATGTAAGCATTTAAATGCCGACGTGCATTTATATATAATGTTGATTATATGCGCAAAATCATATAAATAAACCACAGAGGTTTTGGGGTTCTGTTCTATGGAGCGATGAAACAAAACTGGAACTTTTTGGCCCAATGTATCAGCAATATGTCTGGCGAAAGAATGAAGCCTACGCTGAATGTAACACTCTAACTAGAGTTAAGCATGGTGGTGGCTTAGTGATGGCTCAGTTGGGGTATGGAGCTGTCATCACTACTCCCCAACTGGGGAGCTGCGAGTCCAGGCTCGGAACTGCCCAAGGAGCGCTCTCTCCGGTGCTACCTAAGTGGAGGTAACCCCAGAGAGAGGCGCGAGCCCCAGCAGAATCCCTGGAGCTGCACTGCCACAGAGGTCCCGCTGGCTGCCTGGAAGTCCGCGCCGACTAATGGGAGAAGGAGCAACCATTTAAACTGGGTTTGCGCCATTCCTCTGTTGGGCGAAACCCCTCTCCTCCCCGAGCGCTGATTGGTGCAACCGAGTTTTGCACCCTTTCTTCTGATTGGGCGGCGAAACCCCTCTCCTCCCTGAGCGCTGATTCACTGGACTAAACCTAGCAACTCTATGAAACTAATTTTGGGGATGTACAGAGCCTCGAGCCCCAGACTTTAGATGATAATGTCTCGGGCTTTGTACATCCGATAGCCCCGCTATTTACAGGGTTCCAAGATGGGACCTGAGGCTATCCAGTGATATGTGTTTTATATGTGTAACCCCTTCCTTTCCTGGGGCACAGAGCCCCTACGTGTTCTCCATATATGTAATGTGTTTTAATGTATGCAACTGTATGTGCTCTCGTTATCTCCAAGATCTGTAAGCCATCCCCCTCCAGCCTGGGAGTGTGTTGAACTGAATGGAGACCCCCTGTGGGGGTCTGTGCATAAAGGAAAGCTGTACCAATAAAGAATTGTCAGTGTCTTTACCTCCAGAACTGTGTGGCATCCAATTACTGGGGGGGGAGATTGATGCCTACTTGTTGTAAGGGTTCCTGAATGGCTGAAGGAAGGGAATTAGTGGAGGTAACCGGTCAGGTTACCAGGTGGTCCGCTACATACACTACCACACACAGATACACATTGACACATGTACACACACAATTTCAGATACACAGACACACACACTGAAACACATGCAGACATAGAGATACAAACACTGGCAAACACACAGATACAAAATGACACACATGCAGATGCACAGACATACACACACTTTGCCACATACACACAATGACACAGACAGACCAACAGATGCACACAGAGACACACATACAGATACACACTCACACTGACACACATGCAGATACACAGACACTCACACTGACACATGCAGATACAGTGACACATACAAATACATACAGTTACATAGCTGAAAAGAGACTTGCGTCCATAAAGTTCAGCCTTCCTCACATATGTTTTTGCTGTTGATCCAAAAGAAGGCAAAAACCCAGTCTGAAGTGCTTCCAATTTTGCTACAAACTAGGAAAAAATTCCTTCTTGGCCCCAAGATAGCAGTCAGATATCTCCTTGGATCAGGCAGCTATTACCCCACTAATTAGAAATTATATCCCTGTATGTTATGTTTTTGCAAGTATTTATCCAATTGCAGTTTAAACATCTGTATGGACTCTGATAAAACCACCTCTTCATGCAGAGAATTCCATATCCTTATTGTGCTTACAGTAAAAACAAAAACAAAAAAAACCTTTCTTTGCCTTATATGAAATCTCCTTTCTTCTAGCCTAAATGTGTGACCTTGTGTCCTATGTATGCAGATACAGTGACATACATACAAATACATACAGTGACACACATACAGATACACAGACACTCACAATGACACACATGCAGATATAGTGACATACATACAGATACATACAGTGACACACGTACAGATACACAGACACACACACATGCAGATAAAGTGACATACATACAGATACACAGACACTCACACTGACACACATGCAGATACAGTGACATACATACAGATACATACAGTGACACACATACAGATATACAGACACACACACATGCAGATAAAGTGACATACATACAGATTCATACAGATACACAGACACTCACACTGACACACATGCAGATACAGTGACATACATACAGATACATACAATGACACACATACAGATACACAGACACTCACACTGACACACATGCAGATATAGTGACATACATACAGATACATACAATGACACACATACAAATATACAGACACTCACACTGACACACATGCAGATATAGTGACATACATACAGATACATACAGTGACACACATACAGATACACTGGCACTCACACTGTCAAACACGCAGATAAAGTGACATACATACTGTAGTGGAGATCTAGTATTCCACAGGTTATCTCCACTTAAGATCCCAGTGAGGCTCAGGAACAAGTATTATAAATCCATAAAGCAAGGTTTCCAGCAGGTAAAATAATCCAGCAATATCCCAACCTCAATCCCAATGACTGGACGACACACAGCATCAGGAGCAGAACTGAACTTTTATTCACACAGATTCCTTATAAAGCATTCTCCCATGCAAGGGAGGGATTTACAGTCATTAGTACAGTGTCCAAATCATACCGGAGTAACCTCCCACACATCTCCTCCCCTTAGCCTGACTCATAATCCCCTTATACAGCACACAAACTCCCTGGGTTTCTGAAACCTAGGGGTACCCCTTTAAATATTACATCCCCTGGTAGCCCTGATCTGGGTGAGACACATATCCAAAAATCACCCAGATCGGACCCGGGGTTCGGGAAATTTGTGGATGTATTAAAAAGGCCGACCCCGCTGGAGGGACCAGCCGAAATTGGTTCCATGAGTTTTGGCCCTGCGGTCGGTCACAGAAGAAGGGAATAAATAGCACGAAAGGCTTATGCTATGGAGACTAGGGGGGGGTTCGCATAAATCCCCTTGTTCGGGTGTTTCTTTCTACCGAACAGGTGGCCGTTCGGTAGTTTCAATACGAATTTAAGGGCAGTGTGGAGGTCTCAGCGGTGTTTGCCTAACCGAGTGTCCGGTTTGGGTTCCAGACACTCGACGGCAAAACACCTCTGTTCGGGAGTTTTAAAATGGCCACCGCCACGTGTTCGTTTCCCGAATGGTGGCCACCCCTGTAACCGCAGGTGGTTCCCTTATTTACCACTATAATGTCTTAAAGCATAGAACTTAGCAGGGCTAACCATACAGATATCTTAGCCATAATTTTATATAGTGTAAGAGATCCTCTATTTAACATATATAAATAATAGAGAATACAATATAAAATAAGGATTGTCTTGGAAGCAATAGTTTTGTCTTTTTGGATATTTATTATATAAAAATATAAATATAAAATCCATTATAGCAGAGTTTATAAGATTAAATTACATGCTTGCAAATATCATTAATAGGTTAACATACCCTTCTGAACATGTCATCATGTCAGCCTCTCTGTCATTTTAAGATGGAGCAGCGTCTGTCTCCAAGTCTCTCCTCTGTGTCTTAACATTTAAAAGTACACCTATTTATACCTTAGGTGTCTCCATTTTAGGGTTACCGTAGTTCATTTACTTTATTCATTTTAGGACCTCCCTTAATTTGGCAAACATACAAGGCCATAACTAAAGGGTGCAAACGTCATGGAAATTTTCCTGACTTAGTTCAAGATGGCATCTTAAAGTCTGAATAGGTTATCTGTTGTTTATACGAAGTCGTAAGTGTACAGTCGTGGGAGATTCCCGGATTTGGGGAAGTTCCATTAACTTGGGGTTACCACAGTATATTGTGTACTGCAAGAGTCGTAGCATAGCCTTGAAGCTTGTTTATGCATTATTGTTATTGTAATTCGTCTGGGACAAAATGGCGCAAACATATTATGCACTGAACAAAGAAAAAAGGAAACCGCGCCCTTATTGTGATACGTAAATACGTACTCAAGTCCTTATGGCCATACACTTGCAATGATGTACCTCAAAAAGAAAAAAGAGATATACAAATAATAGTGTAGCACTGATAGTATTCAGTAAGTGAACAAAGAGTAAATAGATGTACACTCACATATAACAGAGCTAGAAACAGAGCTCTGCTGTTCATGCGCATGGACGGAACAATCCCCGTCTTAGGATAAATGTAAAGTGGTCCACGTCTTGAAGGTCTCAAATAAAGAACATACAGATAGACAAGGGAATCCACATAGTGTAGTATGTATTAAAATCACTTAAAATAAGGAATAAAATGTAACGTATCGTACTCACATTTACTAGAGCGTGCCTTGCTCTAGTTTACAGCGTATAGGTGGTATAATCCCCACCAAGGAATAAAATGGTAACCAGGAAAAAAAAGGTATATAATAATGGATGTCTCAAGAGTGATAAAAATATATAAAATAGTAACTGTTTATTGTACATAGAAAGTAATAAAAACAAATGAGATACACTCAATGAGAAAGTCCATAAAAAATCCACTTATAAAGAAAAAAGGAAACCGCGCCCTTATTGTGATACGTAAATACGTACTCAAGTCCTTATGGAACAAAGAAAAAAGGAAACCGCGCCCTTATTGTGATACGTAAATACGTACTCAAGTCCTTATATTATGCACTGAGGTTATTGCTTAAAGAAACATCTATGAAAAACAATGTTCCATTTCTAACACCTTGACAGTTTGCAATATCTCTTAAAGACAAAGTACACAGTTTAAGAAATACAACATTTCATTCTAAAACTTGTAATATTTGCATTTGCCCATAACACCCCGAGAACAAAGAACCCACTACACAGATTGCCAATTACCCGTTCGCAACATTGTTGCAAACGGTAATTGGAGGCACACTTCCTACTGGGCTGGTCTGACTGTTCGGTAGTTTCACTCTCATAATGACTGGAGTTATTCTACCGAACAATCAGACGAATGCTGCATACATTTTCACATACATGGATACAATTTAACCGAATACATAATAATAACTGTAGTTTTTAGGACAGCCCAATGCCATCCGCTACACATACAAATACATACAGTGACGCACATACAGATACACAGACACTCACACTGACACACATGCAGATACAGTGACATACATACAGATACATACAGTGACACACATACATAGCCACTGTCACTGTAATAATCTTGAAGTGGGAGCACACACTGGATCTACATTGATTATAATGGGATCCTTCACTGCTTTTTCAAAGGATTCTCTGGAATTCATGCTCAAACAAAGCTACCAGCCTATATCTAAGCGTTCCATTCACGTTCTCCAATGAAGGTGCTGCTAGGTGAGGAACCATTATTGAGTGAAGCTTAATGGGATTTGATCAGTTTCCCTGGCAAACCTTGAAGCAGCCAGTGTCAGCTCATTCACAGTCTGTGCAGAGCCTACTACGGGAAGCAATCACTTTGCAGCAAACCAAAAGAAAAAAAAAATGTATATACAGTGGTACATTTATACATGGTACCTTGGTTTACAAACACCTCGGTTAACATAATTTTCGGTTTACAATGAAAATCCATTGAAAATAATGCCTCGGTTTACGATTTTTTTTTCACAATACAAAGCAAGTTTCCCCAGGATGCATTGCACCTGGGAGGTTTATAGCACCGCCCCTTGCATGCTGGAGCCTGTGGGTAGCACATGGCGTTGAGTGTGGAGGTGTTGGAGCGGCTTTTGCATCGAGTTTTGGAGCCATTCTGGAAATATTTTGCAGGTTTTTTTTGGTGCATTTCTCAAGCTGTGGAAAGGTAGGTAGCTGAGCTTCATCATTTGCCTGCCTTTTATTGTGTGTTCTGCATTGTGGGTTGGTTTCCATGCCGGCTCATTTTGACTTTTTTCTGACCTCCAGAACGGATTAATTGGTTTTCAATGCATTCCTATGGGAAACCGCGTTTCAGTTTACAAATTTTTCGCAATAAGAAACGTCCCGGAGATCGCATTATATTCGTAAAACGAGGTAGCACTGTATAATATTTTTGGCACTTTGTATTAAATTCATTTAATATTGGGTTCCAGTTCACCTGCAGTGTCTTAAATCTCATTCCTTCCCCATTGAATGGAGAATCATTCCTTCCACGGACATCTTTGCTATTAGCAACCTGCGAACATGTTTTATTGAACCCTCAGTACGTTTTAAGATGTTTGGCAATGTGTCAGATCTTGCATGGTTATTTTATTTGCTGTATTGGTTTGGGATTTTTTTTTTTTTTTTTAAACATATTTGAAGAAACCAAAAACATGTTTTAGTAAGCCCACAACATGTCTATGTAGGCCTAGAGTCATGTTATTTGGTTCTGTGGTGCGCATGACTTTCCTTTTCTTTAAAATTGTAGTTGTGGTAAGGAGCACTGCAAATAGTATGACATTTAAATGTTAAATATGTTAAGATTATTTTTTTTTAACATCTGAATGTGATGTAAACAGGAATCCATTATCCTAATAAAAAAGGAAAAACACAAATTCAAGAATTCTATATACATAAACCTTCTTCACTATTTATTACATTAAAGATCAGGGTGGACATAGCAATCTGGAGCCATAGATGTGCACAGCTTGTTAGAGTAGGACTGCATTTGGTTTGGACCCTAGAATGTGTCTTCCAATGGGACATTTAGTCTATCACCAGCTGAAGGACCAAGGTTGTAGCAAACAACATACTTTATACATACTTTAGACCCACATTTGTTGGACTGTATTTTCAAGGCTTTCCTTAGCTGGAGTGATAATGTCCTGATGTATTTTGATTAGATACTTCCTTCACGTGGTGGACATTATTCGCCTCTGTAAACAGCAATGTTGGCATCGGTTTCATGGACACAGACCTCATAGAGAAGTCCTTCTTCGAGCCTCTGCTGCAGACCTTCCCAGATGAACACCGACACATTCTCCACTGAACTGCAGTCATAGTGGATAGAAATAAAAATGTCACACCTCTTACGTAGAGCTACCAAGCGATAATATTCTACAATGCCTGGATCCAGGTTTAGAAAATATATATTCGTTTTAAATTCCCCAATACGTTATAGAAATTAGACTTGGGCTCCTGTTAGGCTTTACGTTTTAGACTGTACTGGGAGAAATGCATACCCAAAACACTGCAATTAACACGCTATTCAATAAAGAGAGAACTCCAATGTTTGAATTCCAAATTTAAGGTTAAAAGATCTAAACTGAAATCAAAGCTGACAAGGAGAGGTTTTACCAGTTCAGCTGTCTTGGCTTAAAATTTTAATTTTATTTTTAATTCTGTCAATTTTCACTTTAGTGAATAATCCTTTAATAAACTTCTCCCTCAGTATATTTTCTCACAGTATTAATGATTGGATTTGCACAGCATGTCGTGAGGTCATCTAAATGTACAGAATGTGTGGGTATCCTAATGATACTAAATAACCTTTTTTTAAATAAAAAGAGCACTCCCGTGTCTGAATTTCCATTGGTGTATATTTAAAACATCTTGCAGGAGATGCAGATTTATTTACAGCCTTTGCAATCTTTCCCATTAATGCCAACACAGACTTTGTCTGCACTGGGGAATTCTCCAATCAGAACTGAAGGAGTCCGACTGGAAAACACAAGAGAAAGTGTAGATAGTGCAAAGTGCTTGTAAAGGCAGTATTTCGATTAGTACCTGTCCCATTTTTACAGTGGGAGAAGGCCACTAAATTAATAGAGATTAGTATACAAACTGGGAAAGCATGCCAGAGATTAATCTCACAGTGGTCTGACATGACAAACATCACCTCTCTAGAAAATATCCAAATCTCGGCCCATGTGGCAATTTCATTATGTAGTTAGCTGATCACGCACACAAATTAAAAGACACCCCAACAAAACCCAATTTTATTCCAACCAGACCGACACTATTCTCAGTGACCAGGAATGACTTACCTGACAACATTTTTAAAGTAAGGTACGTCTTGATCCAGATTCTTGTGATCCATGGGAATGGCAATGGCTTCCTGGAGGGGGATTATATAGAAGGTTGTGGTTTTTTTTTGTCCCCCCATTTTTTCATCATACTTTTCTAAATTTTACGGATTATATGGAATCGCCTTCGTTGGAATATTATAGACAGGATTTGTCGATTACAGACATATTAGTTTTTCTTATGGTGTTTTTAGAATTTCAACATCCCACAACTGCCACCAGATTGTAAAATGTGTTTGTATGTGGGAATAATGTCGAGACACAGTAAGTAAAGTTACACCATGCACATATACTATACATGACTCTGCAATTGCAGCCTGCAAGGAACCCATAGTCCACTCCATGTGTTGAGTCTTCACTTTTCTCCTGGCTTCGCTTCTTGGCTGCTAGAATCTCAGCTATAATTTACCAATTCCACATTGATTGTTTGTTAAATACACCCCAAGTTTTAATTATTTTATGTAGACTATAATTTCTAATTAACAAGCTCCAGAATAAAAATTCTGGAGCTTGTATTGAGCACCACATAAAGTCACCTCTGAACCCTGTTGGGCAACCTCTTACCTCCATGTATTTCTTAAGATCTGTCAAATTCATCACCATTCCTGTGACGGGATCAATCTGAAATAGAAGTTAAGATTGTGAAGGAGAACGGAGATGGTAATGACGATCAGAGCAGAATATGGACACTTTATGTAGGTCCCTAAATTATTCTTATGGTTCAGGTGCAGGGTGCGTATGATGTAATTGTTTATTATTAATGTTTTGTGTGCTCTCCTGTTCTGCTGATGGTTTCAATCAACTTGGTGGATTCAGCTATGGATCCTGAACAGCGCCATCTGTTGGTTGTCAGGATCTTGAAACAGCCTAGATAGCAAGGCTTATTATGAATTCTGCAGACACAGGAGATCGTCCTTGTTAATTATTGTATTCCACACCTCTTTATAAATATGTTAATATTTCCCATAATATCTGGTTATTTGTATTTTATTAAGCAGGTCACAGAAAATCTAACGTAATGTGCATATTGGCTAGCCCTGAATAAAAATAAAGTATTGTGTGCATGTCCTGGTATGTGATTCGGGAATCCCAGTAACCTGTATTCGGACCTGTTGGCTGGCTGCACAGTCCCTGACTCCAAGGACAAGTTAAAGAGAGCTAGGCCTGAAAGCCACCAGTGCCTATGTAACAGTGGCGGATCCGGGGAGGGGGGAAATAGGGCAATTGCCCCCCTTCCCTGCCCCTGAGAAAATAGTGAGGCCAAAGCTCTCCCCGGGTGGCCAATGCAGGGCTGGCACTATCCAAGCGCCAGCCCTGCTGTTTGCCTTCACGGACCAGAGGGGAGATCAGTGATTGCTGGATGTCAGGCAGGGGAGAGAGAACCCGGGGGAGCTCCTACCTGCAGCTCCGCAGGGTTCTCCTTTCGTGAGTACAGAACGTTGTTGCGGTTACCATGGCAACTCTCCGTTCTCACGAGAGTAAACTCTAGTCAGAGCTGCAGGCTAGAGTTCACTCTCACCACTAGAACCACCGGGGAAAGCAATGTCTCCTCCTCCCTCAAACAGGTAAGAAGGGAGGGGGGACAAACTATATTGTAGTAATTATTTAATACATTTACAAACATTTTTTTTAATCTGCCCCCCTTTCCCCTCACACAAACTATAACCCCCCTTACACACACTGCCCCCCCCTTACACACTGTCCCAATACACACAATGTAAGAAAAGGAGCTAAAATGTATTATTCTTAATAATAAAAATAATACATTGTTCCCAAATCGATGGTGGCAGTTGTCACCAGTTACCACAGCTAGGCTTTCATGCCATTACTACAATTCAAATATCGTTGGTTCTACGAGGGCTAACTATAAAACAAGATACTCTCTGTTTTTAATACATTCACTTACCTTTCCACGCACTGTGACAATCACTGAAACAGATAGAACAGGTTAATTAGGGACTGACACAATGTTTAGATTACTGTCAAATATTCAGTTTTTAGCTTAAAAATATTCATATAATCAAGAAAGCGGCGCTCTACTCACAAAGCCTCGGAGGGCCAACCGGCCAGCTCTTGGTCACCCCATGAAAGAGGCTAACAGGGCATATGCCTGGGTGCTTGGAGGTGTGGGGGGGGGGGGGCATAAAATGCTGCCCAGCCTTGTGGGAAGTACACCACTGCATGTAGGGGTGTATTTGTATGTACAGTTGCAATTGGAATGCAGTGATGTACATGTATGTAGTGTTTGAATTCAGGGGAGTGTTTGTACATTGTGTTGGCTTATAAATGCAAGCGTGCTTTTTTATGTGAATCTCGTTATGTCTGTCACTGGTGCGCTATGATGACAGCCATAAATCTTTCAGATTCTCCATGTATGTGCGGCATTTCAAGCAGAAGTGGCCATGTGAGTTGGAGATAGTGGCGTACATACCAGGGTCGCAGGGGTCGTGCCTGCGACTGGGCCCGGCCCACGAGGGGACCCGGCCGTCCTGCGACCCGGTATGCACGCCAGTGTGGCCAGCCTTTTCTCCCCCGAGGCTGGCCCTGGTGTCCCGGGCTAGCTGGCTGGCGCGCGAGGGAGCACTCTCACCTGAGTACTCACTGTTCAGCTCCCTCGCGCGCCGTGTACTGATGCCGGAGCCGGAATATGACATCATATTCCGGCTCCGGCATCAGTGCGGTGCGCAAGGGAGCTGAAGAGGGACCCCTGCGACCAGGTGCCCGCCGCCATGTGTTGCGGCCCGGCCCACGCAGAGTAAGGGGGGGCCATGGATCAATTTTCACACCGGGGCCCCATGGTTCGTGTGTACACCACTGGTTGGAGAAAACCTTTAACTAATTTGGATATTCTAAATTCTTTACATCAAATTGACAGGTTTGCTGATAAACCCCTTTGCACAGGAACCAAAGTAAACGATTCAATACTTTACAACAGGTTTGTTTTATTATTATGTCTAAAAGTAGTAAAATAGATTTTAAAAGTTACACGACGATGAGCATTTTACCCCTCCCCCACTAGATTATCTAGAGAGTGGGATTCATCCTCCCCAATCCCCCCTTCATACACCCAGGGCAATGTGTCAGTATCAGACAGAATCTCACCTTTGTAGTTGTGTCCATGTCCATTGGGGTTGTTGCATTTGCCAAAAATCCTTTTGTTCTCCTCATCACTGAGTGAATTGCTAAAAAACAGGGAAGGCAAAAAGTGTCAGCTTTTCCATAGACGCTGTGAGACCACATGCAGGTAAGAGGAGAGGACAATGTTTCGAGTTAGTGTTCCCTTCATGGAATCCCAGCATTGTCTTTACCACTGTCTGTCAATGTCTGCAAACACAGCTCCATCCTGCCAATTAGTCTTATCTACAGAGCAGGTGTGGAGCAGTCACCATGGCAACCTAGGATTGAGTCGCAGAACATAACAATAAATAAATAAACAAACAAACAAAGCTTCGAGGATTTCCTTTTCCAGAGACACATGTTTACAGTTTATATTGTTACAATGTTCCCACAACATTCATGTTTCTCACTTTCGTTTTCCAGCTGATCTGGCAGAGTATTTACATTGTATCTCCTGCAGGTTACATTGTATCCACACCCACCTGTGCAGTCTGTGGCAAGCACTGAATGTCATGCTGCGGGAGATGTGTCCTGTCCTTGGCTTGCTGGGTGATGGGAGCAGGTCACAGCTCTGCATGGTGAGAGTGATGGTGAGGATGGGGCTACTGGGATGAGCAACAGGCTCTCACTGAGATCAGCACAGCCTGAACTCCTCCTATGATGGGCAGAATGAGGGGCAGTCACTGGCAGGGGGGATCTGATTGGCTGCAAGGCATGCTCTCCCATTGGCCCAACAAGGCTACAATCCATGTCAAATGGGCTACTGGGTTATTCATTATCCCTTTCCAAGGCCTCATTAACTCTTTCCTGTCTGCACAGACTGAGTAACACACACAGTGTCCATCACTGAAACAGGGCTGTATAAAATAAAATGTCTGGGAGAGACTGAGTCCATCACTGAAACAGGACTCTGTGATATAAAATGTCTGGGGGAGACTGAGTAACACACACAATGTCCATCACTGAAACAGGACTGTGATATAAAATGTCTGGGAGAGACATAGTCCATAATTGAAACAGGGCTGTATGATATAAAATGTCTGGGAGAGACTGCGTCCATCACTGAAACAGGGCTGTATGATTTAAAATATCTGGGGAGACTGAGTAACACACAATGTCCATCACTGAAACAGGGCTGTATGATATAAAATGTCTGGGGGAGACTGAGTAACACATATAGTGTCCATCACTGAAACAGGGCTGTATAAAATAAAATGTCTGGGAGAGACTGAGTCCATCACTGAAACAGGACTCTGTGATATAAAATGTCTGGGTGAGACTGAGTAACACACACAATGTCCATCACTGAAACAGGACTGTGATATAAAATGTCTGGGAGAGACTAACACACATAGTGTCCATCACTGAAACAGGGCTGTATGATATAAAATGTCTGGGAGAGACATAGTCCATAATTGAAACAGGGCTGTATGCTATAAAATGTCTGGGAGAGACTGAGTCCATCACTGAAACAGGGCTGTATGATTTAAAATATCTGGGGAGAGACTGAGTCCATCACTGAAACAGGGCTGTATGATATAAAATGTCTGGGAGACACTGAGTAACACACAGTGTCCATCACTGAAACAGGGCTGTATGATATAAAATGTCTGGGAGAGACTGAGTAACACACAATGTCCATCACTGAAACAGGACTGTGATATAAAATGTCTGGGAGAGACTAACACACAGAGTGTCCATCACTGAAACAGGGCTGTATGATATAAAATGTCTGGGAGAGACATAGTCCATAATTGAAACAGGGCTGTATGATATAAAATGTCTGGGAGAGACTGAGTCCATCACTGAAACAGGGCTGTATGATTTTAAATATCTGGGGAGAGACTGAGTCCATCACTGAAACAGGGCTGTATGATATAAAATGTCTGGGAGAGACTGAGTAACACACAATGTCCATCACTGAAACAGGGCTGTATGATATAAAATGTCTGGGAGAGACTGAGTCCATCACTGAAACAGGACTCTGTGATATAAAATGTCTGGGTGAGACTGAGTAACACACACAATGTCCATCACTGAAACAGGACTGTGATATAAAATGTCTGGGAGAGACTAACACACATAGTGTCCATCACTGAAACAGGGCTGTATGATATAAAATGTCTGGGAGAGACTGAGTCCATCACTGAAACAGGGCTGTAGGATATAAAATGTCTGGGAGAGACTGAGTAACACATATAGTGTCCATCACTGAAACAGGGCTGTATAAAATAAAATGTCTGGGAGAGACTGAGTCCATCACTGAAACAGGACTCTGTGATATAAAATGTCTGGGTGAGACTGAGTAACACACACAATGTCCATCACTGAAACAGGACTGTGATATAAAATGTCTGGGAGAGACTAACACACATAGTGTCCATCACTGAAACAGGGCTGTATGATATAAAATGTCTGGGAGAGACATAGTCCATAATTGAAACAGGGCTGTATGCTATAAAATGTCTGGGAGAGACTGAGTCCATCACTGAAACAGGGCTGTATGATTTAAAATATCTGGGGAGAGACTGAGTCCATCACTGAAACAGGGCTGTATGATATAAAATGTCTGGGAGACACTGAGTAACACACAGTGTCCATCACTGAAACAGGGCTGTATGATATAAAATGTCTGGGAGAGACTGAGTAACACACAATGTCCATCACTGAAACAGGACTGTGATATAAAATGTCTGGGAGAGACTAACACACAGAGTGTCCATCACTGAAACAGGGCTGTATGATATAAAATGTCTGGGAGAGACATAGTCCATAATTGAAACAGGGCTGTATGATATAAAATGTCTGGGAGAGACTGAGTCCATCACTGAAACAGGGCTGTATGATTTTAAATATCTGGGGAGAGACTGAGTCCATCACTGAAACAGGGCTGTATGATATAAAATGTCTGGGAGAGACTGAGTAACACACAATGTCCATCACTGAAACAGGGCTGTATGATATAAAATGTCTGGGAGAGACTGAGTCCATCACTGAAACAGGACTCTGTGATATAAAATGTCTGGGTGAGACTGAGTAACACACACAATGTCCATCACTGAAACAGGACTGTGATATAAAATGTCTGGGAGAGACTAACACACATAGTGTCCATCACTGAAACAGGGCTGTATGATATAAAATGTCTGGGAGAGACTGAGTCCATCACTGAAACAGGGCTGTAGGATATAAAATGTCTGGGAGAGAGACTGAGTCCATCACTGAAACAGGGCTGTATGATATAAAATGTCTGGGAGAGACAGAGTCTATAATTGAAACAGGGCTGTATGATATAAAATGTCTGGGGAGAGACTGAGTCCATCACTGAAACAGGGCTGTATGATATAAATTGTCTGGGAGACACTGAGTAACACACAGTGTCCATCACTGAAACAGGGCTGTATGATATAAAATGTCTGGGGAGAGACTGAGTCCATCATGAAACAGGGCTGTATGATATAAAATATCTGGGGAGACTCTGAGTCCATCACTGAAACAGGGCTGTATGATATAAATTGTCTGGGAGACACTGAGTAACACACAGTGTCCATCACTGAAACAGGGCTGTATGATATAAAATGTCTGGGGAGAGACTGAGTCCATCATGAAACAGGGCTGTATGATATAAAATGTCTGGGAGACACTGAGTAACACACAGTGTCCATCACTGAAACAGGGCTGTATGATATAAAATGTCTGGGAGAGTCCATCACTGCACTCATCCGCACTTTGTCTCCCTCTCTTGTTCTTCTTCTCGCTAACATTTTCAATCTCTCCCTTTCCTCTGGCACATTTCCCTCTGCCTTCAAACATTCAACCGTAACCCCAATTCTGAAAAAGCCCAACCTTGATCCCAACTCCCCATCCAACTACCGCCCTATCTCGCTACTGCCATTTGCCTCCAAGATCCTCAAGAGAGTTGTCTACGCCAGATTGACAGACTTTCTTGAATCCAACTCTCTGCTTGACCCCCTTCAGTCTGGATTCCGCGCTGGTCACTCTGTTGAAACTGCTGTGACCAAAGTATCCAACGATTTAATTGCTGCTAAATCTCGCGGCCAATACTCTATCCTAATCCTCCTTGATCTTTCTGCCGCCTTTGACACTGTTGGTCATCAACCGCTTCTTTACATTCTCCGTAATTTTGGTCTACGGGATACTGCTCTCTCCTGGTGCTCCTCCTACCTCTCCCAGCACTCTTTCAGTGTTTCTTTCTCCGGCTCTGCCTCTTCTCCCCAACCCCTCCCTGTTGGTGTCCCCCAAGGTTCTGTCCTCGGCCCCCTACTGTTCTCTATCTATACTGCCTTCCTTGGTAAACTCATCAGCTCCTTTGGCGTCCAATACCATTTACATGCAGATGACACGCAAATCTACCTGTCCTCCCCTGATCTCTCTCCACCCACCTTGACTCATGTTTCTGAAACAGGGCTGTATGATATAAAATGTCTGGGGAGAGACTGAGTCCATCACTGAAACAGGGCTGTATGATATAAAATATCTGGGGAGACTCTGAGTCCATCACTGAAACAGGGCTGTATGATATAAAATGTCTATCTATACTGCCTATCTATAATAGCTTCTGCTATTTCCAACTGGGTGGCTGCTCACTTCCTTAAGTGCTGCTACTCCTGTGTCTGTCTCCATCCAAGTCAACGGCGCTACTATCACCTCTACCTCGCAGGCTCGCTGCCTAGGGGTTCTTTTTGACTCTGATCTCTCTTTTACTCCCCATGTTCAATCGATAGCCAAATCCTGTCGCTTCCAACTCAAGAACATAGCACGCATCCGCCCATATCTAACGCCGGACGCGGCTAAGGTACTGGTTCATGCTGTTGTTCTCTCTCTCTTTGACTATTGCAATCCCCTTCTCACCGGTCTTACATGTTCCCAGCTTGCACCGCTGCAATCTATAATGAATGCGGCTGCAAGGCTTAATTTTCCTGTCCGGTCGCACCTCCCACGCCTCCACACTCTGTCAGTCCCTGCATTGGCTTCCAGTTAGATATTGGACCCAATTCAAAATTCTGGTGCTTGCTTACAAATCCCTACATAATGCTGCTCCAACATACCTATCCTCCCTCATACACAAGTATGTCCCGTCGAGACCCCTGCACTCAGCCCAAGACCTACGCCTATCCTCTGCCCGGATCCCCACCTCTGATGCTCGCCTTCAAGAGTTCTCCAGGGCTGCACCTATTCTGTGAGCTAAATAGGGTAGACCTTTTTCGCAGAATCCATTTTGAAACGGCTTTATTCTCTGTTGCACCTAAGAAGATTTTATGCATAGAATTAGAATTTTGTCTGTGGTTGGTCTTCCTCCTCCTCCTCAAAGCCACATTCCTCCTCTGACTCCTCTTCCTCACAATCCTCTTCCAGCGTTGCCGCAGGTCCAGCAAGTCCTCAATCAGACTTTCACCCAGCCTCCACTCCTTCAAAAAATCTTTGAAAACTCACTTCTTCATTAAAGCGTATCAATTAAACTGTCAGCAGGTTTCTCATTCCCCACCCCATGACTCCTTTCCTGCACCTGTCAAAAATGACCTACCAAGCACTCAATAAACCTTTCTCTAACAAACTATGTAATTCCCCTACTTTAACCCTTTGTGTCACTATACCCCACTCCCTCTAGCATGTAAGCTCATTGAGCAGGGTCCTCAACC